CACACACACACACACACACACACACACACACCCCCCCCGCCGCCGCCGCCGCCGCCATGTGGGGTTCAACATGAGACTAAAAGTTAAAGAGTTTTTTGTTCCTGTCAACCAAAGCAGATGGTCCCTTTGCGATGAGATGAGCGGGGAGCTTCTATAGGCAGGGGGATAAAATGCTGGCAGGACAGAAAGAGGCTGTTCTCACCAAATCAGAGGTAATTTTGTGTACTAGTAAAAACAAAACGTGGTGGAGTCCAAGGCAGGCCCAAGGATGAGGGGAGAGCAGTTCGAGCCAAACCACCCCACACAGAAATGGCGGCCTTTCCTCTGCACCAGGAGGAATGCCGATCGGCCCAAACAGCGTGCATGGAGCCCAGCGGTGCCGCGGCGGCTCTGGGAAGCGCGTGAGCGACCCCGCCGAGGGCCTGGCCCGCCCCCGTCGCCCTCTTGCTCTTCCGCGCAGAAAGGCGGGTGGGGGGCAGAGGGAAGACCGGGGGCCCTTTGTGGGTCGGAGCAGCTCCGGAGGCTCTTTAAAAACACACAAACACGCAGGAACTTGGACGCGGTGGCAGCTCTGGCGTTATTTAAAGTGGCAGATTTTAACGAGGCCCTTTTATTGTTTCGACTGAGCCTGCTTTACTGCCCCCGGCATGACCACAAATTTTACAGCGCTTCTCCCCAACGCATAAAACTCCGCTGGAGAAGATTTGCACATTCCAAGTGGTGTCCGGGGGCGGCCTCAGCGAAGCAAGCGGCCCCCTCCTCTGGCCTGCCACCCCCGACTGCGAGGCAGCCTGCTGGCGCCCCCCCCCCACCCGGCGCCTCCCCGGGCGAGTAGCCAGCCCGCTGTCCTCACGCACTGCTGTCAGTCGCTGTCGGAGAGCTCCAGCTCTTCCACCGCGTCTTCCGGCCCTTCTGCCAGCCTCTGCAGCTCGGCCCGAGACAGCTGCCGGGCCCCCTTGGGCTTGGCCCGCGTGCCTCGCCCTGTGGAAGGAAGAGAGGCGAGCGTGACGACGGGGCGCACGGGCGGGTGGGCGGGCGGAGGCCACTCTTCCGGGAGCACCGAGTCGCCTGCACAGCGAGGGCGGGCGGGCAAGGAGCCGTGCTCTCGCAAGGTGGCTGCGAGGCCGAGAGCGCCACGACGAGCGCGAGCGCATGTGGAGGGGGGGGTTTGCAGGCAAGGTGCGTGCGGCCAAACCCACCCTCCCCACAGCACTTTTCTGACGGAGCTCCTCTTGGGGACGGGCCCACACTTTAGCTGCAGAACAGATGCCTCGTGTGCAGGAAGTACGGACCGGGGTGCTGTTTTCAAAGCGCCATGTGAACAGAAAGCCAGTTCTCGTTCAAGAGTCTTTGGAGCTCACAAATCAACATGTGCATACAATACGGTGCATATTAGAGGAAATGGTGATCAGAAACAGTTCATAGCAAACGCACATCTACTACACAAAAACATGCAGAAAAACAACTGGAATACTGAAAGACTGGAGGAATTCTAGTTTGAGGTAGAAGGCTGAGAAAATAAAGGAAATCGACAGATTTGCCCATTCCCACAAGGCCCCACATTTAATCCATGGCATCTCCGGGCAGAACTGGGAGTGGAGGGCCTAGCGCTGCCGAGGCTTCCACAGCAGCCGGCTAGTTAAGCGGCAGGCGAGTCGCTCCAGGCCGAAGGGTCTTGCCCTCCAAAGCCAGTCCCTCTCTCTGGCCCCCAGGAGCATCACCCCTTACCCTATGCATGGAACGCAGCAGGAACTGGTTCTCTAGAAGCCCGCAGAGCGTGGGCTCGTCCTCCACACACACACCTTTCGCCAGCTCCAAAGGGCAGGCCCGTTTTCCCTGCTTTGGCCGCTTCCTGCTCTGGCTTCACAGTCCCACCCAGTGAGGGGTGCTGGCTGCATCCACATGCGCTGCGGGAGGGCGAGGACAAGAGATGGGCCTTGGGAATCTGAGAAAAGGTGGGGCCAGGAGCTGGAAGAGGATAGATCAAGAGAGAAGCAACTGCAGTGGGGGGAGAACGTGGCAAGGGGACTGGGGGGACACAGGCTGAGTGATGGGGGACAGACTTTGCGGGAAGAGGGAGAGGAGGAGCCCCGCCAGGAGCAGGAAGAAACCGCCTGGTAAAGGGGCGAGCAGGAGGTACAGAAAAGCTAGGAAGGGAACGAAGCGATGCAGAAAAGGGGAAGAGTGCAAGCACAGAAAGGGGCTGTGCAGAGAGATGCTGAGGCCTGAGGCCAGGAGCAGAGAGGATCAAGAGGTGAAGGTGGGGGCAGAAGGCGGCTGGAGGCCTGTCCCTCCTCTTACCCACTCTGTGCTTCAGCCCCCAGGTGCCACTGCACCAGCTCAGTCCAGTGGCTACACGGAAAGCTCGCAGTTGTAGCAGAGCTGCAAGGGGCCAGAGGGCACCCCCTGCTCAGAGCAGGCTCAAAGCATCCCTCCCAGATGGCCGTCCAGTGTGAGAGAGCCCACCACCTCTCCAGGCCTTGGGTTCCACCGTCGTGCTGCTCCAGCAGCAAGTCCCGGCTCCCTGTAACTTGAGCCCATCATTCCACGTCCGGCACTCTGGGGTGATGCAGAAGAGACCCGGGGGCCTTGCTCTGTGCGGCAGCCTCTCAGGTGCTTGAGAAGTGCCATCCTCTCCCCCCTCGGTTTTCGACAGGCTAAAGGAAGCCCAGCTCTTTCCAGCTCACCTCGTGGGCCTTTGTGCCCTCCTCCAAACCCTTCCCAGCCTGTCCGCATCTTTCTTAAACGGTGGTGCCCAGAATTGGACGCTGTCCCAGATGCCCCAGGATTTCGGGCAGGAGGCGGCCACTCCTGACGATGGCATGTTTTGCACCCAAGACTGTCTGCACACGAAGCAGGGCTGCTCTCACAGAGGGTGGCAACACTGCAGGGGACCCCAAATGTACCACCCCCATGGTAAACGACCCATTACGGCAGAGCCAGCGGATTCTTGCCCCCACACACGTTGCTCCAATTCCCAAGGGACCGAAAGGGATTGAAAGCGAGGAAGCACGACTCCAACCCCCCCCCGACCGCCACCCTGGAAGAAGTGCTTGGCGCGAGCACGCGGCCGGGGCTCTCGGCAAGCTCCTTCCGCTCCCTGCTCCTTGCCAGCTCCAAAGGAAAGCGCTCCAAAAGCTGGCGAGGAAACGCGGCTCGGCGTTCCCAGCCTCCGTCAGCGCCAGCTCCGCCGCCGATCTATTCCGGGCAGCAGCACCAGGCTGTGCGCGCCAACCCTGTGCCATCTGCCACCACGACTCAGTCCATGGGCCGGGCAGGCCCCCTCCCCGCCGCCTCTCGCTCTCACTCGGCAGCTGCGGCGAGACCGTTGGGAGAGGTGCACCGGCTGGCACAAAGGGCAGGCATCCCCCACCCCCACATGGGGGCTTTTCCTCGAAACCCTGGTCTTTGCAGAGGGAAAAGCAGCAGCAAACGCCTGAGCTACAGGAAAGGCCTGCCCGAACCAGGCCGGCAACCCCCTGGCAGAGGCGTGCCCTCTTTCGCACGGCTCCTCAGCCAAGGCCAGGCGGGGCCCTTTGCAGCCCCAGCAGCTCCCATGCGTGGCCGAGCCAGCGCCCTCGTGCCGGCTTCTCCAGGGCCTGGTGCCCCCAGAGAGTAAGGAGGCGGCTCTTGCCCCCCACGGGAACTGCCAGCAAGGCACACGGGGAGGACAGGCGGGTGTCGGCAAGGTGCAATTAGCTTCTGGAAACGCTCCTGCGCCGGGGCAGGCAGTGGCGGCCACTGCCAAGGGGCTCTTCCTCTCTCTTCCTTTCGTGCCGCTTTTCCACAGGCAGAACGAGAGCCAACTCGCACTCCAGCCGCGTGGCGCCTCCGTGTTTCAACCAACTGCCCCGTGCCAGAGGCCAGCCGCACAAAGACACACCCTCATGTAACGTGTTGCCAAGGGCAGCCGGTGTGATGTAGTGGTCAGAGTGCAGGACTGGGACTTGGGAGACCCGGCCTGGTCAGTGAGGGCTACTCTGAGCCAGGCACCGAGTCTAAGCCTAACCCACCTCACAGAGCTACAGCGCACATGAAACGGAGAGGCGGCCGATGGCGCTGCAGGAAAAGGGAAGGACGGAGATGCCGTGCAGATAAAAGCACAAAACCTCTCTCTCCATGGTAGCTGCAGGCCTTCCATTGATCCTCACCTCCTTCATCATCAGAGTTCTCCTCGTCATCCTCTTCCTCCTCCTCCTCTTCCTCATCATCTTCCACTTCGTACTCTCCATCTTCTCCCTCATCATCATCATCATCATCCTCACTGCTGTCCACTGAATCTCTCTCTTCATTGTCCTTCTTGGACTTGGACTTCTCTGCAAGAAAGAAAGCAAACCGAACCCTAAATTAGAAAGACGGACACGCTCACTGGCCAGCAAAGCAAGGGAATCTGAGCTGCCAAGGCGCCACGGAAATGCACTCAGACCCGAAACTCGGCCACTCTAAAGGCACGAGACACAGAGACAGCGGCCTGAATCGGTGTGCTTCCCAGCAGGCTGCAAAGAACTTTTTCTCACGTGGAGGTACAGGGAGGAAGGCAGAATGAGAAAACTAATCCTGTGCCGTGACAACCTTAAATACACACCCCGCAGCAGAACACAAGTCACAGATGCTGCACAGGGGCAACAGTGCATGCCCCCCCCCCGCACACTTTTTAAACATTTAGTCTCGCTCCCACCTTCTGTGTTTTAAACAAGTGTCAGGCTGCAAAAGGAAAGGGGCGAAGGAGAAGTGGGTCCAGGTTCACACTCGATCCACCACACTGGCCCAAGCGGACTTTCCCACTCGCACCTTCCCGTGGCAGCCCCTGAAGACCCCAGAAAGGCTGGCGAGCCAGAGGCGACTGAAAGAGCCTCCCAGGCCGGGGCGAGAGCCCCTTCCTTGTGGAGGGCCGGTCAGGGAGCCACTCCGGCCTGTGCCACAACCTGGCTCGGTGGTCCTTGTGGGAAGGCGGCTGTTCCGCAGGTGCAGCCCCCGCCAGAGCCAGCTGCCCGGAGTGCAGCTGGTTGCCCCCCGCAGAAGGAAGCGGCCGAGGCCCCCCATTCGCATCGGCCTCGGTGGGGAGGCAGGAAACGCCGCCGGGAACACGTGCCTGGGCGCCTCTTCCCCGACTGCTGGCTCATCGGCCAGCCCTTCTGCTTTTCCTGCTTCTCTGACCACGCAGGGCTGGGAAAGCAGCCCAAGTCTTGCAGCCGGAATACGAAGCGGTGCCCACTCGGCACTTCTAATGCAGCCCCTTCTCTGCCATGGTTTTAACCGCCATGTCCACTGCACAGCGACCACCCAACAAAAGGAATGCCCTCCCAGAGACCGGAGATGCTCACGCTGCATCACGACACCCACAGAACAAGGGCGTTCCTAACACATGGCAACCCACCCGGAGAATAAGTGACGCAGGGGGCTTGAATGCGGAACAACCCAACGCCTGCCTGAGGTCTTACGGGTGGAAAGAGCCCCAGGTCTGATAAGGCAGCAAAGCCACATGAGATGTCATGTTGTGAAAACACAGGAAACACTGGTTCCTCCACAGCTTCACGAGAATTTCGGGTCTCATTTTGTGTTAAGATTCTAGATGTTATGACAGCAAAGAGAGTTTTGAATAAACCTTAGGAGCTGCGAGGGCAGTTAAGAGCAGAAGGCAGCTCTTGGCCACACGAAGAGGCAAAGCGTAGGCAGAAGAAATTCTGCAGTCGGCCGACTTCTACAATTTATACCTTGCAAGTTCCAGCTCCTATTGACACAAAATTGGGATCAATCAGGAACACCAAGTAAGTGTATTAATTTTTAAGTGCAGCTTATACACATAAAGCCGGGATATTTGCTCCCTAATGACAGCGGTGATTGCAGAACAGCGTTTCCTACATTGGCCTTTTGATACTCGACTGAGCAAGTTTTTCGCGCTATACTAACTTTGAGCTGACACCCCCATGCCAAGAGATTTTTCCGGCCTGCTCATTCTTTCCGGCCCTTCTGAGCACTTCTCAGGCCTCAGAAGTCTCGTAACTGCCTTAGTTTTGCTAACCCTAACCCTAACCTGGATTTTCCCATAGCCCTAAAATGGGGGCAAATGCCCATGAAATATGCCAATTTCAAAATACCCCACTTTCCGGAGATTTTTCCGGCCTGCTCATTCTTTCCGGCCCTTCTAAGCACTTCCCAGGCCTCGGAAGCCTCGTAACCGCCTTAGTTTTGCTAACCCTAACCCTAACCTGGATTTTCCCATAACCCTAAAATAGGGGCCAAATGCCCATGAAATATGCGAATTTCAAAATACCCCACGTTCCGAATATTTTTCCGGCCTGCTCATTCTTTCCGGCCCTTCTAAGCACTTCCCA